AATCAACTGCAGAGTGGGGTGGAAAATCTCTGCAATTTGGGTCCCAAAACCCGAGCAATGTTTGCCTACTCCACCACAGCTCAGGGTCCCGAAGCTTAGCTGGGGAATTTCCACCACAGTATTCGTGTAGCCCTGACTTAGCTCTTTCCAATCACCATCTAAACTAATCCCACAGCAGATACCTGTCTTAGGTTAGGTTATTAGAAAATAGGATTTTTAGTACCTCAGAAATGACCCAGCTGCCTTTCTGATCACAGAACCAAGGAGCTTCTGGAAGCAGGGCAACCACCCATTGCGTAGTGATTGGCAACAAGTTGCCAATGAAGGTGACATATATATAGCTGATCAAAATTGCTTCCCACTGGAATAAACTTAATTCGAAAAAAGTTTGAAAGTGTCCACAGAACTTTTGGGACAACCTAATATTTGGACGTTTGCTCCCCCTCCTTCTGATCCGTCAACCCTTGGTATAACTTATTCACATTTTTCCCCATCTGCTTTGGAGCCGAGTAATTAATTTTTTGAGTGACACCGCTAACTTTCGGCGCTGGCCCGCCCATTGCGGTCAGCGGTGTGCTCTTCACATCATTCCCCATGCCCTACCGATTCCAACCTTGACCCTGGCTCTACAAATTGCTCTTCACGTACAATCGAATTTCCGGACACACACAAACAGACAGACGTAGGAAATTTTATATAGTGAGTGATTCTTCTTTTCTGTAATTAATTTTAGGCAATGGACAACCATGCGTGGACGAAGAGGCAAGGTTAGTGCGGGCGACGCACCAAAGGCGAACTGTGAAAGAACAGAAAGGCCAATGGAACGGCGGATGCCAGTCAATTTTGCGATGGCTGTTGCCTGAGCGGCTCTACCAGTGGTTGGAATTTTTACGAATTTCGAAGACCTCAGTGCTCTAGTCACTCGCTTAAGCTCCAAAAGTGGTCCATCTTGTGAGAAAGCTTATCGAGCTAGTGTCATCTGCTGCTATGCATTATGCCTTCTTCATGAAGACGCACGCTGCATAATAGATAATGACGAGCTGAATCATATACACAAACTGCACACTCACTTCCGTGAATTCTGGTCCTTGTTGTGTGCGAGATGAGTTTGTCAGCAACCGCAGTAACGTGCCCTTTTCTCCGCTCAGAAGTGCACGAGACTGGGCCTGGAAAGTAGTGCAGAGCACGTGCCGTCCTCCGACTTCGCCCGCGCTGCCATACGGCCGTACATCCAGCCACACGCCAAACCATAGCCTACGCGCCACTTATCTGCGCTCCCTCACTTCTTGTTGTTCTTTACCTCTCACAGTGTGTTCGCTGCAGAAATCTCATCGACGAAAATGTTGCATATTTGGGGGAGACGTCGAAGTCTCCCGAGAGGTCACGTCATCATCAACCTGCAAGCGGTATATCTCATTATGGGGACGGTAAAAATGTCTAGTAAATGTACTCTGATCCTTTGGTATTTTTATCAACTGAATTTCTTGACCACAGCATTTAAACAGACGTTTTTGGGAAGAACATATTGCGTGACTCAAAAAGGTTGAAACTTCTTGGGAGCAAGGATTATTGATACTTTTGACGAAATCAGGAACTTTGACGAATTGACAATTACGTTGAAAAGCTCCGTCCGTTCAATGATAACAAACCTTGCTACACTCATAGATATGTAGCTGCGATGAGTGGGTGAGAAGTAGAACTATGTGTGAGCAAAAATAGACAGTGAAGTGGTCCGCACCAGTGGTTTCTTAGCCGTAAACTTGAAATCGCGATGCGCCCATTCGACTAGAGAAGTGCACATTAAGGAAAACCGCGCTCTCAAGCCATTGCAGCGCGTGATTGAAGCGGGCAATTTCTAGCTCTCTCCTAGAGGATTGCCTGACCGCGTGAGACTTGCTACGTCCCACATCTGAGATGGAGATCCACAGAACGACACTCGGGCAACACTGCTGCCCTGACCTTCCAAGCATGATTTTTGAATTTAGAAAGAAGGGGTGGTTACCTTGGCGCAACCCGACTATCTATTGTCTCAGTATCGTTACGCTGCCTCAGCGCTCTGCATGATAGATTTCACTCTCACAGTAGTAGAGACAGATTACTTCTACTCTCATATTTTTGCGCCTTCGCTAGAGCATTACTTGCTCCACTCCAGAACTACTTTTCAAAGTGTTTCCACCAAAGTTCAGTGTACAAATAGTTCGAATTCGCAAGTTCATGGTCGTGCCGAAATCTGATTCTTCTCACCTTTAGTTGATTAGAAACATATGGCCGGCGGCAACCAGACTATTGATCCTAGCTTCCGGATGCTTCGAGATGATCACCATCATCACTACTCTCGTTCTTGCTACCCTTGCAGTAAGTTGACTCTCATACATGATTGTTACTATGACGAAAGGTAGGTATGAACACTTTTCTGCCTAAGGGCCACAGATCAAATCCAGCAATTGAACTCTGGAACCCGTTTCATCTTGTCAACTGTGACAAGTTAGCTTGCTGTAGAATGGGCAAATTTTCTATCAACAAGCGTTGAGTAATTTGATCCCGTAAGCCAACTTTCGGCTTCCCTTCCCCTCAGGATGGCTTCCACATCCCGCTCAGAGTCGGCATCATTCAGCGCCAAAGATATCTGTGATTTTTATAGAATATCATGTGCAATTAGCACTACACAGAACTTGGAGCTGGAGAAGGGATTCATTGCTAAGCTGTTGGATGAGACTACGACAGGCGAGCCTATTAGCTCCAGCTCATGATCACTGCTCTTCCTTTGGGGAATTATTGCTTGGGTACGTAACGGGAACTACAGCCGTCATCAGTGAAGTCAGTAGGGGCGTGTTAGCAGGGCACTAATTTGGCAGAGCTTAGCCCTTTTCCGATCGTTGCAACTTCGGTCGCTCAGTGAGTGATGGAAAGGGCTGTAGCCCCTCCAAAATCCACACGCTTCAAAAGGGGCTATGCATTTAGTTAGGGCGCACTTCGGCACAGTTTCGGGGCATTTTGCACTTTTGCTGCTTCACTAGTCCCGCTTTACACGTCACTTTTTACTCGTTCGAAGTCTCACTCTTTTGAAACCTGTGAACTCTTGGGAAAGTGGAGCAAGCTCGGCGAGCCACATGGTAAAACCAGTCAACTCAAGAAAGGCTTTCTAGATGGGTGGCCGCTTTGATGGGAAGTAGCAGTAGCGCAAAAGCCCCCCCCCCCATAGCCGAGTATCAAAGGGAGTTTCATCCTTGTCTTAGGTTTGATACTTATCGTTATTCAGTGACATAAGCGCAGGAGGTATCGCTCCAGGAAACCTGATTTCTGATATGACTTGTTAATTAGAAACACTTTATGAATTGGTATATGCATAGTTTCCATAATACTGTAACAATTGAATTCTTACAAGTTGAAACCAACGTACGAGAACGTTTTCAGGCACCACCATCGGAGGTGGCGTCGAAGAGCAAATGTGAATACTTCCTGCAGAGGATTCCCGGAATGAACCCGCTTGTGCTTACCGATGCCAACGGTAAGAAATGTCGAGGTGTGGTGGAGATTCCCGTCTGTCGTGGATACTGTAAGACGTCCGAAGTGAATATTACAATCATTAACTCTTTCGACATTTATCATTTTTATTATATTGACCTCATCTTGTTGTTTACTTTGTTTACTTTTATTTTAACTTTCTATTTCCTTTCATGAACTTTGATGACGAAACGCCTTATTTTCGTTGTCTTACGTTGTTAATGTGTTCACGAGCTCACTGAGGTTCGTAAACGAAGGGAAGTACGTCGGCTCCAGGGTACAGCATCGTTGTTTGAAACAGACAGGGGGAGGGGGTTCGTCCTTTTCCACTGGGGAGAGTGAAACGTATTTGGTCGTTGGGAGAGAGGGTTGCCTTTGAGAAAAAGTTGCTGCGCTGGGAAAAAATTTTTCTCGGTTGTTTTCGCGTGATTTTACCTGTTTTATGTGTACTGTATACCCCTCTCCTCCTCGCTCAACAGCAAAATTTTTGGGGAAAATTAGGAAAATTCTCGGTAAATTCCGGAAAAAGTGGTAGGAACTTGGGGATAATCTGAGAATTTTCTCTGTTTCACATTGGCCTATATATTGCGAGATGTTTTGCTGCCGGTGGTTGTCTAGAAAAAATTACCCATAGATCAGGTTTTAGTAAGGTTGAGCACCGTGCAATACAATCATAGTAACTATACTGTGGGCTACTGCTCCCGTCTTTCCACTACTATCTAGTTCTTAGGTGTTTAGCTTAGTAGATTGTTAGGTACGGTTATGTACTTTACGCTGTCACGTTTCCTCCCCTTGAATCCTTGCTTTGTAGTCATTTTTCCGTCCAATGGTTTCTCTTTATTCTCGTTTCTCTTATTCTCATACGTCAGTCCTGGGTAATTGAAAGAAATTTGCGAGGTCGTAAGGCCTAAGAAATCTTGCATCGCAGTTATAGCAGACTTTTTCCTCATAGCCTTGATCATCGTCGGACACAAGATACGAAACACATAATGATTTCCTAGGTAGCAAGTGTCGAATAATTCAGGCCTGGCGTTGGCTTGCTGTACTTGCTTTGATTGCATATTGCCTATTTTAGACGGTAACTATAATACTTTTCTTCATCGAGCCAGAATAGCTCTGCGCTGTGCTGCTAATTTGTTTACTGAAGCGCAGGTGTTTTGTTCCTCAAACTCACTTCTTATGTAAGTATTGTGATATTCGATATCGGTCGCGTTCAGGTATTCCGCTGACCGACTGCGACGAGGGCGCAGACGACTCCATCAAATCCGTCTCGATCCCCACCGGTGAAAAATGTGGCTGCAAAAAGTTCCCTTTCAATTGAATTCATTGAATGTTTAATGACGCATTGGGTAGTTCAAGTTTGCATAGCTTATCTGTAATCCCTTTTTCGAAATGAAGTTCTGTGAAGTATTTAGTTGTGGCATCATTGCGAATCCCTGTCTCTGAAACCTTAACTGTACACCCAACTGTCCGAGGACGTCCCGCTTCCATAAACGGATTGGATGGGGTTTGGCAGGCCCAGGTGTGACCTATGTGCCCTTGCACCCAAGGTGATCTGGAATAAGAACGAGCGGTGAAGGTACTAGCCTCGTGCCATGTTATTTGATTCGCAGGGCAGTCATGGCGGAATGTGCGCGCAAATGGCGGTGTCAGTGAGCGACCTCGCTCCCTTCTCGGAGGCTCATGCCTGCCTACTTCTAAGCTCTCAATCCCTCTCCAATACTTTGCAGTCCTCCTCTTGACTTTCCCAAAGAGAGCTTTCCATAAAGTAGAAGATTCTCAAGGTTCTCCTCTTGGTGTTGTTACTGATACCTGTTCTCTGATGCGCTCTTCATTTCCTGTGATCATGGCCATCCTCACTTCTTTCTTTGCTATGCCACAATCTTGCCTTTAGATGTCATCGCCCATGAAACTAATTCTGAAAATACTGTAATGGTTCAAATTATATAAGTCCTCGATTTGGGTGGTTTGCTGTCGGATGCGACGAGAAATGTCGCTGTGACTTACACTCAGTATCCGCTGAGTGATGAGGATATGGCGCGCTGCCGTACTCGACAGAACTGTGGCTTCGTGTGTAGATAACATTCACATTGTAAAGGTCAATTGCCGTTCACGTCTTTGCCCAACAGAACAGGTATGAAACAGTTCTCTCAGTTGAAATAATCCCCTTGAATAACCCCCTATACTGCCATGTCCAAACACGCCTACTTCCGTTCAGGGATATCTTATACTGTAGTCTAGTAGCGGATGGTTGGGCGTGGGTTCGTGGGCGGTGCGTTTGGCGGTGGTGCCTACTCGGTCTCCATCGATTTACATAGCGAGCAATATTAAAAATACTGTATCATACCCTTCGTGTTACTTGTTTTCTGATGTTTTTTTTGTCGCATGCCCGTTTCAACAAGAAGGCAGAGAACAGCTCAAAGAGGGTGACACACTCCTTCTGGCTGACACGCCCAACCGTCCGCAGCGAAGTAGAGTGTAATGGCTGACTGTTATGTACCGGCGGACTGTAGCGCCCAAGAAAATACAATACGTTGAACAGAACCCAGGAACATACAATGAACGCAACAAATTGAAACGAATTAAATCAGCAATCAACAAATGAAAAGAAATGAATCAAAATGAACGCAAAATGAGCAGGCGCTCGTAGCCACGTCGCGACCGCTTGCTCAATTCAAACAAAAAATTGAGCTTAGGTTGTTGGTGGTGACACATTCGGAAGCTTGTACGGGACTTTGGACCTGAAATAACTTTTTTTCAACTGCAGGTCTTTTGAGAGACGGAAGGCAAACTGTCAACGTCATGTCCCTACTGTTTTGTTTTCTACATACTCGCAATCTGAATCTTCCCCGTTCGTGAAACATTTTGGATGGGTCTTATATGGGTTAGCGACAACTCGCGAGCGAGCTTATATGCTTCAGACGACCACATCTTCTTTCAAAGCATGTTTCTGCAAAACTAAAAAAGCCTTCAGAACGCCCAATATTTCCTCTTCCCAACGAATTTTCTTGAAGATCCGCTAGTTCAGAAGATGGTTTTGAGTTTTGATGGGCCACCCTTAGGCCAGATTATGAACCACTCAAAAAATGGGATCCTTCTGTGCCATTGTAAGGATAGTCATTTGCAAACCTTAACATATCTTCAAACATATTTTCGCTGAAGTAAGCGAAAGATTAGTTAAGTTATCTTCGATCGATTTCATCTGAGGGCGCGCCATGTATCCGACCGCCACACTAATGACGGAGGCATATGAGGGATACTAACTCTACAAAATGCTCCATCGTGTGAGAGCGTGTCTTCTCAGTTATGGGTACATGACAATCTCAATCCAGGTAAAGACATCAATAGTGTAGACCGTTAAAGTGCATTTTTTCAACGTCACCTCAGCTCTTCGATTCCTCACATGGGCCTCACTTCAACGTATGCGAGCTGCACTGTGTTGTCCGAATGCTGACTGACCCTTGACCTTACGACCCCCTCCCTAGCGGCCAAGTGCGAACCCTTCCCCCCTCCCCAATGATTTTAGCACAACGATAATGAACCTTGTTTGCTCGGCGTGATCATGCTCACGACTACAAGCGAGCGAATTACCCGTGCTAGGGATAGAAACTCAGCTGAGTTGAGTAGCGCGTGACAGTGCAAGCAGCAGAGATACTTGCGCTTCACCAGTTTATTCGCGTATCGGTTATCATTCAACAGTAACTGGTCTCAGGAGGATACCTTTACCTTCAAGCTCTCGGTTAGTTTGCAACACGTACTTATGAATTGCGATGGTTGACACTGATTTACAACATTAAAGTGTTTTCCCCTTTGGTCGGAAGAAAAACGTCATGTGATTGCTCTTCCTGGACATTCTGGTTCTTCCAGCTGGTGCTGCACCTGGCCAGCCACAGCAATGGGCGCAGCGGTCCCTCCCAAATGAC